GACAGAGAGTCGAGTGGTTATGACGCAATCGTTAGCCTATTTTTACAAAAACTGTTTCTACGGGGCCATAATGTAACATAGAAGGTAATGGAGCCCTTTATACATTGTCGTGTTTCTTTAGAAATAAATAATGGACAAATGGAGTCTTTAAACGCCTCATATGTAAAGTTATTCGCTGTCAAAGTGACGCCAAAATGAATGGGAGTCAATGGAAATACAAGTGAAGTTCTGCTACAAGATGGCGGCACCCGGCCGGCTTCAACTTCCGGTTGATGGATTACCCCCTTGATGTAAACTGGCATTCAAATCTGCCTCTATTTTGTTTGCAACGCCCAACCTCCAACGATCCAATCAATTCCCAAAGGACGAAATCAAGCCCCGCCCTACATTTTTTTTTCTGATTTCAGAAGCCATTTCACTTGGATATACGTCACAACAAGGAAAAAATGACAATCTCAACTTCCGTTTCATGCCGACTTTAAATTTTATCAAGGCCCTTGAATCCTGGGGAGTGACTGGCTCTGATGAAGCCCCTCCAGGAATTCCTTCAGCCATTGGCCTTCCAGCATTCAGGCTCAGGGCCATCTCCATCTCCTCTGCATTTGTGGAGGTGGTGGTGCAGGTCCTCCCCCCGTTTTGCGAGCCTCTGCCTTCTTTCTGTTGGCTGAGTAGTAGTCAAATGAAAATGAACATTTAATTGTGTGAAAACAGAATTAGACCTATGTCAAAAATGCTGCTGCACTGCTATATGCTGGATGCTATTTAGTTATTTAATATGTCAAATGTTTGTAAAGTCAGGTAGCCTACACCCATGATATGCTCAAGCCTTACCTGATTATTATGTTTTTATATTTCATTTTCAGCTGCTGCCACGTTCTTTTAATGCCTGCAGGATTGCACCTACATGAAAATTAAAATTAGGTTGAATAACATAGTGTTCTTCCAGTTTCACCTCTAATATTATAACAGTTGGGTAAGTTACTCTAAAATAGTTATTAATAACTAACTAGAAATGACATCTTCAACAGTGTAATTAGATTAATGTAATAATTTCTATCTCTAGAATGTATTGGTCTACTTATATTAAATCCCATATCAACCTCAAACACTTGAACAATACAAGGAGAGACAAGAAACTCCACTTTTAATGCTTTCAAATTAACAATATGCAATTGCATGAATTATTCTTGAATTGACCAAAGTGTGTAGAGGGAGAAGGTAACATTAAAAATATACATTTTAAAAATGTATGTTAAATCCACTATTGTTTTAAACAGAATTGTTCTATAGTCTATGCAGTAGCCTGTTTAATGCAATTACATCCGATTTTACTTTAAATTACAGAAGAATTAAGAGTAATCCCTTTAAAGTATTTAGATTACTTGGTAATTAATTACACCCAACACTGTATAACAGTAATTAAAATGTAAACTTAAGCATTGACTCGAGCAACTTTTTCTCCCAAGCTAAAACAGTTCTGCTGGTGAGAAATATGCAGACCTCTTTTTGTCTGGCGCTGTTGCCATGGTGACTCATAATATCTGCGCTCCATTGATAATGGCTTTTTATAGTTGTGGTGCACGCGCTTAACTCAGAGTCAGTCAACTTAGAGTTGATTGAACTAACTAATTTCAGCTGTTCTGTAACCGTAAATCAACTCAGAGTTCAAGTTTTAACTCAAGAGTTGGTTGAACCTCCTTATTGAAACGGGCCCCAGGACCAGTGTTGGGGGGTAACTCATTACAAGCAACTTGAGTTATGTAATCAGATTACTTTTTCCAAGTAACTAAAGTAACACACTTTTAAAATTTACAACAAAATATCCAAGTTACTTTTTCAAATAAGTAACGCAAGTTACTTTGTTTTCCCATTTATTGACTGACAGCTCTCTTGTACCCATGTAGAGACAAATCAAAATGCAGAGGCGTGCAAACATGATGGTTATTGTAGTTCTAGACTAAATGTGAGCATGGATTTCCTCACTTGCACACAATAAAAGATCCAATATTCCTTAAAAATGAATAAAATCAGTGAAATACAGAATCAACTATGTAAATCTCCAATAACTATGTTTAAAGTCCCCGTGAACCGGAAGTTGCAAACATAGACAGTAAAAGAAATGGACACAGCGACCCCGTTGATTTCAACGGAGAGAGTTGAAGCCCAGGGCACTCACTTCCTGATAGCCAAGCGTTCTGCGCAGGCTCAAACTGAGCTTGACGACGTAGTTGTCACGTGAGCAACCGTTCTGACCTTCTAGTAGCTGTGCCGGGACAAATCTGAATTGAAATCTGAAACAAATCTGTTGTTGAAATATTTTGTCCCGTTGCTTTTATGAACTCTCTATCTATGGGCTTCTCCCTTGACTTTATGCCTCCATGTCCACCCGATTGCCTCATAGACAGTAAACGATTGCCTACGAGCTTCTACTTGTCTATACGGTGATTTCTCTACTGTGCGACAGAGCGTCCCGTGGTTATGACGCAATCGTTAGCCTATTTTTACAAGAATGGCTTCTACGGGGCCATAATGTAAGATACAAAGTAATGGAGCCCTTTATACATTGTTGTGTTTCTTTAGAAATAAATAATGGACAAATGGAGTCTTTGGACGCCTCAGATGTAAAGTTATTCGCTGTCAAAGTGACGCCAAAATGAATGGGAGTCAATGGGATGCTAACATCAGGTGATAGCCAGCTACAATGGCGGCCCCCGGAGGCAGCTTCAACTTCCGGCTGATGGATTACCCCCTTGGTTGCAAACGACTTTTCTCCAGTGTTGTGACGTATTTCCGAGAGAAACGGAATACTAAATGAGGCAAAATAGTGGGCGTGGCTTTTTTTCCCAACTAGCACCTGATTGGATCTAGAAAAGTAGGTGTTTTCTACTGTCAGTTGGAGGGGCGTGGTCACGGATGTTAAGCAGACGCCCAAACCGTCAAACCTATGTCATCAGGGAAGGTCCTCCAATGCAGAGGGGAGGGGAAATTTCAGATTTTGATTAAAGATTACGAAGCCAAAAAAATTTGTGTGGATTGACTTACATGGATGAATTGTTCACCACAAAACGATCAATTTAGGCAAACAAAGTAAGTATGGTCAATTTCGAATTCATGGGGACTTTAATACAACATTCATTTGTATGCCTTTAATCTCACTTGACCAATGCTTGCTTCTGACCTTCAATGATTCAGTTAACTATAAGCAAAAATGACCATAGATTTTTTTGTTTTTATTAGTAAAGTGTAAAACTGTTCTCCTGCATCTTCTTCTGTTCTCCAGAATGGCGGCCCAGCTGAACGGTTTGCTTGAGCAGCGCCCTCTACTGTACACACGTGAATTTGCATTTGCTTCAGCCTGAGGGTTATCACAATTTTCTTTGGGCATCTTTACATTTGCCCAAAAATATAACTATTACAAAAAGTTTTCACCCAGCCCAGGTGAAAAAAAAGTACCGTAATGCATTATTTTTCCCAAAAAAATTAACGCAATTAGTTACTTAGGAGTAATGCAATATTGTAATGCATTCCTTTTCAAAGTAACTTTCCACTGATCAGGACAATTTATTCTCTCATAACTTGAAAACATTCTTTGTAAAATTATTTTAAACAATAAGTATAATACATATTTATGAATATATTAACTTACTGTCTCATATTTAATACACACATTTCTAGGGCCTAAAAAAAACTGCTGAAAAACCTGTTGTACACAATCTACATGTCTTCTGCCCTCTGATTGATACTTAATACTTTTTTTTCTTTCAAGTTAAGTCATTTTTTGCGGAGAAATCTTTATCGATTTATATAAAATACATGCAAGATGAACATTTACAGGACTGAAGCAACTTGGATTTACATGATTATTCATATAATCAAATACACACGCTAAATAAGACACAACATGCTTTTGGGGAACAATAATTTGCCAATCTATATTTATCACTGAATTGCGATATATGAGCTATAAAAGCCTGATGTATGAAATATGATGCTAAACAAATTTGTAAACATGAATAAATATCAATTGAACATGTGCATTACTAAATATAGTTATTTATCTTTGGCATTATTTCATCAAAATAATATAATTTTTAAATAAGGTTTTGCCCTAGACATTCAATTCAAAACTACACAATTATTCGACATCTACTGCACTGACAGACAACCCAGACAAATTCAACCTCTTAATTCAATGAATGCCAGTCACATAGAAATCTTCAAACATAAAGTGACCATGACCAAGAACCATGAGAAGACTTACCTTTCAAGCACGGGTTGAACTCAATCCATTCATGGGATGAAGCATGTTGAAAAATTTACCTGCAGTCACGACTGGCTTTGTATAAACATTTTTATTTACTCTATACACTTACATGAACAAAACACCATATAAACACAAAGAGACTGATGCAGCGGTTAACTAACCATTTGATTCAGAGGCCTTGTACGCAAGTCTTTTTTCTTTTTTTTTCTTTTTGTGAAACACAGACGGCCGAGGCACAATGCTATCATACTGAACGGTACATGCTTAGTACACTGCCTGCATCAGGAATGGAAATCTCTCTCTATAGACACTAACTCAAAGTAAAGAAAGTATAAAAGTATCATTTTACAGCAGTTGAAATACTGACATTAATAGCAAGTTTTAAATCATTAAAACCATGAAAGAGACTAAGGAGGCCAGTCTGAAAAAAAAGAAAAAAAGATTAAGCGAAACAAAAGTTTTAGACTCATGCCTCTGCATCAGTGGAATATCATTTCTTCTGCATGTGGATGTTTGTGCCTTTTTTTTTGTTGCAAATGTAGCACTGTTACCAAGCAACCCCACCCCCAAAAAATAAAATAAAAAAAGCCACACAACCTAGTGTGAACTCCTCTGCTGTGGATTTGCCCAACTGGGAAGGTGAAAAAAAATTTATACAAAAGACCAAATTTAAAACCTCCAGGATGAGCATCAGTGGATTGACAATGGCACAACACATTCATTTCTTTAAGCCCAGCAGTAAATAAGTATGGGATGGGGGGGGATGGGGGCTGGAACAGGGGTGAGGAGACCTGGTCAAAACCCATTTCCATTAAGTGAGAAATCTTGAGATTTACGGCGAGAACTTTTTGGCTTGTGCTCTGACCCTTTTTTCATACTCCACTCTGTTTTGGCTGAAACAGAAATGCAAACACAAGATTCATAACAAAGGCAATAAGAATTTCAGTCTCAATAGGCAAGACTATATTTGAGGGTGCGTACCAGTAAATTGTGTATGCCTCAGCCTGTGCGGGATCCTGAATATTTGGTTCATTAAGGAGTTCTTGGATTCCTAGCAAGATCTAAAAAGATATAAATAAGTTTTAGTGCTTCATGAGATAATACTGCCCTCTTCAGGAATGCATTGGACATTTGGCTTTTGGATATTTTAAAAATCACACCACAAAACCATGCAGCATTTGCAGTTCAAATCTTCTAAAACAAAAAATCCAAAAAAATCCAAAAAAAGAAACCACAATTAATCCTTAAAAATGATCTTGAACTACACGTTATTGGATATACCAATTAAATGGACCAATGCATCAATTTTAGGGATGTTCATTTCGGTTTCGTCCTGACAAGACTGTTAAATTAGAGTTAAGTTAAATTAGATAAGTATCTGTGATACCTAAATGGTTTAGTTGTACATGCACAAATAGGCCACATACACTTCAGGAGTGACAACCGCTTTTAAATGCAGGAGTGAGTCAGTTACCATTCCATGCATGTACGGAACACGACTCCCGGAACTGCGATGATTGACACCGGGGTAACCATAGCAACGTTCTAGTGTCTAGTCTTTGATCTCCACTATACTGACCAAAGTAACATTACAGTGACAAAAGACCCGCTGTGTTGAGCAATTTTAATGAAAGCAGTGACGGAGGCCTCATGTTGTGGTTATGTTTGGAAACGCTGATTCACCTAAACATTGATCACCGAGCATAAACAGAAACTCAACCGTACTTGCTTGACGCGCGAGAACAAGCCTCATTGGTTCTTGCAGAAGCTCAAACGTGCTGCGTAACACGAGAAGGAACCTCATTGGTTCTTGCAGAAGCTCAAACGTGCTGCGTAACACGAGAATGAACCTCATTGGTTCTTGCAGAAGCTCAAACGTGCTGCGTAACACGAGAAGGAACCTCATTGGTTCTTGCAGAAGCTCAAATGTGCTGCGTAACACGAGAATGAACCTCATTGGTTCTTGCAGAAGCTCAAACGTGCTGCGTAACACGAGGATGAACCTCATTGGTTCTTGCAGAAGCTCAAACGTGCTGCGTAACACAAGACTGAACCACATTGGTTCTTGCAGAAGCTCAAACGTGCTGCGTAACACGAGAAGGAACCTCATTGGTTCTTGCAGAAGCTCAAACGTGCTGCGTAACACGAGAAGGAACCTCATTGGTTCTTGCAGAAGCTCAAACGTGCTGCGTAACACGAGAATGAACCTCATTGGTTCTTGCAGAAGCTCAAACGTGCTGCGTAACACGAGAATGAACCTCATTGGTTCCTGCAGAAGCTCAAACGTGCTGCGTAACACAAGCATGAACCTCATTGGTTCTTACAGAAGCTCAAACGTGCTGCGTAACACGAGAAGGAACCTCATTGGTTCTTGTAGAAGCTCAAACGTGCTGCGTAACACGAGAAGGAACCTCATTGGTTCTTGCAGAAGCTCAAACGTGCTGCGTCACGAGAATGAACCTCATTGGTTCTTGCAGAAGCTCAAACGTGCTGCGTAACACAAGCATGAACCTCATTGGTTCTTGCAGAAGCTCAAACGTGCTGCGTAACACGAGAATGAAACTCATTGGTTCTTGCAGAAGCTCAAACGTGCTGCGTAACACGAGAAGGAACCTCATTGGTTCTTGCAGAAGCTCAAACGTGCTGCGTAACACGAGAAGGAACCTCATTGGTTCTTGCAGAAGCTCAAATGTGCTGCGTAACACGAGAATGAACCTCATTGGTTCTTGCAGAAGCTCAAACGTGCTGCGTAACACGAGGATGAACCTCATTGGTTCTTGCAGAAGCTCAAACGTGCTGCGTAACACAAGACTGAACCACATTGGTTCTTGCAGAAGCTCAAACGTGCTGCGTAACACGAGAAGGAACCTCATTGGTTCTTGCAGAAGCTCAAACGTGCTGCGTAACACGATAAGGAACCTCATTGGTTCTTGCAGAAGCTCAAACGTGCTGCGTAACACGAGAATGAACCTCATTGGTTCTTGCAGAAGCTCAAACGTGCTGCGTAACACGAGAATGAACCTCATTGGTTCCTGCAGAAGCTCAAACGTGCTGCGTAACACAAGCATGAACCTCATTGGTTCTTACAGAAGCTCAAACGTGCTGCGTAACACGAGAAGGAACCTCATTGGTTCTTGCAGAAGCTCAAACGTGCTGCGTAACACGAGAAGGAACCTCATTGGTTCTTGCAGAAGCTCAAACGTGCTGCGTCACGAGAATGAACCTCATTGGTTCTTGCAGAAGCTCAAACGTGCTGCGTAACACGAGAATGAAACTCATTGGTTCTTGCAGAAGCTCAAACGTGCTGCGTAACACGAGAATGAAACTCATTGGTTCTTGCAGAAGCTCAAACGTGCTGCGTAACACGAGAATGAAATTTATTGGTTCTTGCAGAAGCTCAAACGTGCTGCGTAACACGAGAATGAAACTCATTGGTTCTTGCAGAAGCTCAAACGTGCTGCGTAACACGAGAATGAAACTCATTGGTTCTTGCAGAAGCTCAAACGTGCTGCGTAACACGAGAATGAAACTCATTGGTTCCTGCAGAAGCTCAAACGTGCTGCGTTACACGAGGAGGAACCTCATTGGTTCTTGCTGAAGCTCAAACGTGCTGCGTAACACGAGAATGAACCTCATTGGTTCCTGCAGAAGCTCAAACGTGCTGCGTAACACGAGAATGAACCTCATTGGTTCTTGCAGAAGCTCAAACGTGCTGCGTAACACGAGAATGAACCTCATTGGTTCCTGCAGAAGCTCAAACGTGCTGCGTAAACCGAGAATGAACCTCATTGGTTCCTGCAGAAGCTCAAACGTGCTGCGTAACACGAGGAGGAACCTCATTGGTTCTTGCTGAAGCTCAAACGTGCTGCGTAACAAGAGGAGGAGCCTCATTGGTTCTTGCAGAAGCTCAAACGTGCTGCGTCACGAGAATGAACCTCATTGGTTCTTGCAGAAGCTCAAACGTGCTGCGTAACACGAGAATGAACCTCATTGGTTCCTGCAGAAGCTCAAACGTGCTGCGTAACACGAGAATGAAACTCATTGGTTCTTGCAGAAGCTCAAACGTGCTGCGTAACACGAGAATGAAATTTATTGGTTCTTGCAGAAGCTCAAACGTGCTGCGTAACACGAGAATGAAACTCATTGGTTCTTGCAGAAGCTCAAACGTGCTGCGTAACACGAGAATGAAACTCATTGGTTCTTGCAGAAGCTCAAACGTGCTGCGTAACACGAGAATGAAACTCATTGGTTCTTGCAGAAGCTCAAACGTGCTGCGTAACACGAGAATGAAACTCATTGGTTCCTGCAGAAGCTCAAACGTGCTGCGTTACACGAGGAGGAACCTCATTGGTTCTTGCTGAAGCTCAAACGTGCTGCGTAACACGAGAATGAACCTCATTGGTTCCTGCAGAAGCTCAAACGTGCTGCGTAACACGAGAATGAACCTCATTGGTTCTTGCAGAAGCTCAAACGTGCTGCGTAACACGAGAATGAACCTCATTGGTTCCTGCAGAAGCTCAAACGTGCTGCGTAACACGAGAATGAACCTCATTGGTTCCTGCAGAAGCTCAAACGTGCTGCGTAACACGAGGAGGAACCTCATTGGTTCTTGCTGAAGCTCAAACGTGCTGCGTAACAAGAGGAGGAACCTCATTGGTTCTTGCTGAAGCTCAAACGTGCTGCGTAATACGAGAATGAACCTCATTGGTTCCTGCAGAAGCTCAAACGTGCTGCGTAACACGAGAATGAACCTCATTGGTTCCTGCAGAAGCTCAAACGTGCTGCGTAACACGAGAATGAACCTCATTGGTTCCTGCAGAAGCTCAAACGTGCTGCGTAACACGAGGAGGAACCTCATTGGTTCTTGCTGAAGCTCAAACGTGCTGCGTAACAAGAGGAGGAACCTCATTGGTTCTTGCTGAAGCTCAAACGTGCTGCGTAATACGAGAATGAACCTCATTGGTTCTCACACGTGAAGCGTACATGCTTGAGCTTCGTTTATCATATCTGATGTGTGCGTTGATTAATTTTTATGTGAATAAATGCCTAAATAAAAAACATATAAAGCGATCGTGTTTCTTCCGAAAATTTGGACTAAACCGTTCAATTCATATGGATTAGACTAACAATCTAAAGTGTCAAAGTGGTAGTTGCTTAAAATGGAGGGACAGAAATCCTTCCGATTTAATTAAAAATCTTCATTTGTGTTCCGAAGAGGAACGAAAGTCTAAAGATCCAAGCTTCACAGCTTACCTGCTTGATTGTAATGGCAGGCCTCCAGTCTTTGTCTTCCTCTAAAATAGACAAGCATACGGTACCAGACGGATATACATTCGGATGGAATAAAGGAGGCTCAAATTTACCTGTAGAAGAAGTCACATCATAAAAATCTGGCATAATTAAAAACACAATGTGCATACAAAGTACAGATAATGGATTAGCTCCACTAAGCATCTGATTTACACTTTGGTGGAGAGGAAGGATAGTCATCCTTAAACAGCATCCGAAGTTTGAACAAGCCTCCCTCCCACGGTGTCTGAGAATAAATAAATAAAAATTAATAAAAATAAATAAAAAAAGTACTTATTTACTTAAAGTCCCCCTGTGGAAAAAAATCCAGCTTTTAATGTTGATTATATGTCTACGTGGCATTTTAAATATGAATTTGCACATGGTTTATCTTAAAGCATAAGTCAACACCATTGCAGAGTATTTTCTCCTTAAAACGGCAGTGAACCAAAGGGTCTCAAAAAAACGGTTTGAAATCGCTGGTGTTTCTGACGTCACAAACTACCTTGTAACCAATCATCGTCAACGAGTGATCATCATTGAGTGGATCTCTGAGCTGGTGCGAGTGAGTGGAGATGGGACTAATTAGCATATTCATAGAACCAGGTATAATAAATGAGGCAAGGGTGTAGAGTTACATTCAAGCTATTTTAAGGCATGAAGAGATTTGTTTTCAAATACAAATTTTTAAATGTGTCATTTTGGTGATCGAAGAGGAGTTTTAAGGGATAAAATTGACTACAGAGGGACTTTAACATTTTGTTTTCCAATCATACAAATTACATTCTGTAGACAAGAATTCACAGGAGCAGAATTCAATATGATGTGCATACCAGAACATCATAAACAGTTATGCGTGCCTGTACTGTAAACATTGAAATGGCACTTACTCCTTTTTTCCCTGGGATGGCACACTCCCAATTCATCAAATTCATCGTTCCATCAGGGTTTTTTGTCGGTACGGCTACAAAACCCTAAAAAAAAAAAAAAAAAAAAGATTTTTTTTTTTTTTTTTTTTTCTGTGGGTGGCTGCAAAAGTTTCAAAACGTCTCTAGAATCTTTTTAATTTATGGCACACACACCCCAACAGTTTCAATAGTGACTTCTCAGCTGAATAAATTAAAATAAAGCGACATTTTAAAATAACATCTCCACCACAGATGGAAAGCACTCCCCTTCAGTAACCCCTTCGCTGCTTTTCCTCCAAAGGTTAATACTGCAGCTCTAATAATTTAAGAAGCTTCTAAAACATGTGGTGATTTGAAACTGATAAAAAAGACCCTCCATGGGTCTACACAAAGCCTGTTGCTTCTCAAACATTTAAAAAGTAAAAAAAAAAAATATATATATATATATATAAAATCTCACTCTTATTTCCTATATAACAGCCTCACATCTGTGATCGGAAACATCATACTTACAAAAGGATGGTCTTTCCGCCAAGCCTTTCGTTCTTGTGCGAGACGACTTAACGCTATACCAGACATGACTTGTGGCCCACTTAATGATTGAAAACCTGAAAAAAAAAATATATATATTTTCTCTTTAAGCAAGATGCACATATCTGTAAAACTATACACAGTCATTACGCAATTTTCTTCCTTATTAACTATCAATATTTAACTTGATAATAAACAACCCTTTTAGTTATATAAAAAATTAAAGGGGAGGAGTAATAACATTCATCAGGATTTGCTTACATTTTGACATTTAAATAAAAAAATAATAAACAATAAGTTGTTAGGTTGAGATTACCATTAAAAGGCAAAACCTTGGCTTAAAACTACATTGGGTTCATACAAATGAGGAAATGTCATTGGAGTATGAAACATCTAGGGAGCTTTTGATTTCATTAGAACATACAGTAGTGAAACTGTAGTGGTGGTGATACACACTGTTGTTTATGGTTCTAGTACAGAATAACTGCACATTTCCCAATCTCCATCAGTAGGAGATGTATGATCTGACAGAATCAAACAAATCCTGGATCTATCAACCGTCCTGGAGTCAACCCAACATGTGTGACTATGTACCGTGCTAATGAAATGTGCTTATTTTATCAGCCGTGATAAGGTTATTACGTTCAAACATCTTAACCATTTGACTGATCAGGATGTCCAATAATCCATTTCTAAAACTTATTTATTTGTCCTCTGGGGTCTCTAAAATGACACATATTGCACTCTCCCTTCATTTCAATGAAGTTCAAAATAGACAAACATCAAGATGGTTTCATTATTAATTACTCTGAGGGTTTGATCATCATGATTCAAAAGGAGCATGATTCACAATGTTTACATATTTTTTTTAAAGGCTGGGCAAGCGATTTTCTTCAGAAACATTTTTGCTATGCTGGTTGAAAGCCTCTGATAGCAATAGCCAAGTTAAGGCCTGTTCACACCGGGACAAATTTCGTGCGCGATATTCGCCGACGTTTAATGCCTCGTGACTAAACAAAGGGCGCCAATGTGAGTGTCCACACCGACGCGAAAAACGCCATGTGTAAAGGCGTCATTAAAAAAAAAAAAGCCTCTGGTTCGTTTTTTTAGTTTGACGCGCCGCGTCAAAAACTATCCGACCAATGAGATTGGCGCTTTTGCTCACGTGTCTGGAGCTTCTGAAGTTACAGTAAAACACAACTTGGGGGCGCTCAAAACACAAAACGGTCTTGCCGAGCACACATACGTAACGGCGAAGAAGATATAGACTACGCCAAGTAGCGTCTACACTGCCGGGAAGAAAAAAGACGAGGAAGATGCAAGGCAAGATGAATGTAGAGCTGCTGGTCTTGTTGGTGTCGGAACATAAAGAACTATATGACAAACGCGACAGCGACTACAAAAATCTTGATAAAAGAGAATGTTATGGAGTGGTATTGCAGAGCAAATGGGCGCCATCTAATGTCAGGGAATAAATTTGCATGTTCACTCGGCTCGTCGTCAGCGAAAATCGCTTGGGTGTGAACACAAACGCGTTGAAAAACACTGCCGAATAACGCACGTCGATATTCGTCCCGGTGTGTACGAGCCTTTAAAGTGGTCTAAATAGGTGTAGGGGGGGGGTGTGTGTGTGGAACCATTAAATGTTCACCCAATCATTCTATTCGGTCCGAAAGCAATGATATGATGTCCCTCCTGCCTGTCAACGCATGTATTCTTTATACCTCCACAGCTAGAGCAGACATTAGGCCTACACATCATCAGCGCGTTTCATACTATGAGTTAGACAGACGTCAGTCACCGAGCACCGCAACCGAAACAGCAGCCACCTTTTACAGTTCCTCCTGAACCAAAACAAGCTTATGCTGCGTTCCCGCCATAACTACCATAATTTGGATGGACGAGATAGAGACCTGCGACGCTACACCAGGAGCATTTTTTTAATCCATATTGAGACAACTAACGATTAATCGTAAACAAAATGGTTGATATTTGGTTCTCTGTATCAGGTTGTTACTTGGTTTTTGAGACTGCTTTAAAATATATATATATATATATATATATATATATAAATATATATATATATTATGTGCACTTGCCGTCAATTATAAGAATGCGGCAGAGATTAAGCAGACCAAATGATTGGAGAAATCCAGCATACATCACTTGTGGTTTCACCCGAAGATCTAGGTGACTTATTAAACCGTAAAAAAAAATAAAAAAAAAAGAGTCTTTGCATAAAATGACAATCTATAATAGTGCGGTGAGACGATAAGGTATAAATTGAGAAGTGAGAAAATTAAAAATGAATAATGTTTTCATAACCGCATGCGAAAATTGTGTAATCCGACCAACAAAGTCTCAAATTAGGGGCCATTAACTCTAAAAAGAGTTGATAAACATCAAATAAACAAACTCAATAAATCGCTGAAAAATAATTAGCTTCAAGTTAAAATCTATAATAAAATTGCATTGTAAAGTCATTCGGTGAGAGAACGCATGAATGAAGAATGCTATTAAAAATATGCAAATTACTCAGGGTTTCCCTAGTTGGCACAATCAAAGCAACTTATTTTAATGAATATGCTGCCCGCCTATGTTTGATTAGAGTAACGAGCAAATGAACCGCATTGAATGAATATACCTGTCAGATGCACATTTTTTTTGCGCGATGCCGCACAGCAGCATTCCTCACTGCGCGCACATCAGCCGCTGATTGAACCAAATCACGCTTTGTTGCGATTAACTGCTCGCGTCAAACTACACGGACAAAGATGCATACTCTGCATGTGTGCAATTACATTATTATAATACAAGCGCGCTGTAATTTGTCGCGTCGCGTGCAGTCTGGATATGCTGTTAGCCTAGCATAGGGCTAGCTAACAAAACCCGCAAACAAAACACCGCAAACTAGAGTAAACGTCCACAAATTAACCCTGCTTTTACACCAGACATACCTCGTCAGTGAAGATGAGTACTGTACTCTATCAAGAGCCGGTTAATTGGGAATTCGCGTCAAACTCAAAGCACAAATCTAGCGAAGTTTCCCTCCTGGAAAAAAGAAAACACAGACATTTAGCCAAGATAATTAGGACCCGTGAGTGCACACGCAGATGCCTGAATGAAACTTTCAACAGTGTCCATATATACTGGGTGAAATTGAATGGATTGTTTCCTATAATTACAGGCTGACGAATTGCAAGGTATTCTCTATAAACGCAAACTGATGGATATCACCTGAACGTCCAATTTAAGGTAAAATACGAACAGTTAATAGATTAATTAAACAATGTAGCTGATTGAAACATTTAGATTTTGTGATTAGTTCAATAACACTGCATTTAACTTATTTGCTGCTTATTTTTAGCGAGTCAGAAAAAAACACTGATTTAAAGGGATAGTTCACCCAAAAATGAAAATTCTGTCATCACTTACTCGGCCTCAACTTGTTCCACACCTGTATGAATTTCTTCCTTCAGTTGAAGATAAAGGAGGATATTTTGAAAACTGTGGGTAACGAACAGTTGCTGACCCCACTGACTTCCATAGTATGCAGAAAAAACACTATGGAAGTCAATGCTAGCTAACAAAACCCGCAACTGTTTGGTTTCCCACATTCTTCAAAATATCTTCTTTTGTGTTCAGCTGAAGAAATAAACTCATACAGGGTTAGAACAACATGAGGGTGAGTAAATGACATAATTAAAATTTTTGAGTGAACTATCCCTTTAAGATTTTTGGTCAGGCAGTTCTTGGACAGCTAAAGGACGTCTTAGCTCTCAAGCGCACATATTATTGAGGATATAAATGTGAATAAATATTAGTCTAATATTTAAAACACATTCAGCTCTTCTTTATGCAGTACTGTATGCTATATTACTACCATTTTACAGCACTCATACCATAATATAAAATGTCACACATTATCACTGCTTTTTCATTTTTATTTAGGCTATTCATTTCATTTTTTTTATACCCATGCCAAGCCCTGATTTATCTATTTTCTGCTATATTGACCCCCCAAAATAGATTCTGATGACACTGCACATTTATCCAGCCCATGATGTCAACAACAGGAACAATCCTTAAAGGGGAACTGTGCAGTTTTTTTTTAGCTTAAAGCTGCTGTCCGTAACTTTTTTAAGTTAAAAATAATCCAAATTAATTATTTAAAAAAAACATCTTCAGCCAGTCTTCAAAACTATCTGCTTGCCATAGCTAGATTCAAAACGGTTAGCTTGTAATAATGATTTTAATTCCAGTGGTACTGGTGGGTTTTCGCGGGAAATTCGAGCATGTCTTTGCGTCATTACGTCACACCCGTACACATAAAGGAGTTTCGGCTAGCCGGCTATACTGCGCGTGACGAGATGTTTAGATGTATAGGCTTTTCTCGCAGCACTTTACATAATTAAACTTATGGCATCCAGAAAGATCCAAACAACAATCATCAGTGTCAACTGGAGATTCAGCAGTTATAAAACCCAAAAGACTTCGTACTTCGGATTTAAGGTGGAAAGAGAAAGAAACCGTCTCATGCGAACACAAGTATACACATCGGTGGGGCTTTTGAAAGGTGCGTGAACTCCCGAAGGGGTTCGAAACGGAAGAAGAGACAGCTTTTTCTGCTGAACAAGTAAGACATTTCAATAGTTCAATCGTGTAACAGTACGTTTTCTTAATTCACACAGTTATGGAGTTTCCTTTGTTGTGCCTTTCTCGTTTTGCTATTATGGAGAATATGAATTCTGAACTACACAGGTAATCATAAAACACATTAAATAACGTTAGTCACGCAATGCTGATGTTGTTAACATGAACAATTTGAGAACAAAGTAGGCTATGATTTGCACGGTTGCTGTAAATCGCGTTGATTAAATCTAACGAAGCTTATCATGTCGAATGCTTTTTCCCCCTTAGTTGATCAGAACAAAAATGGATGTTACTTACTTGTTCAGAAGACATTTTCCGGTGAAAATTCTTATGTTGGTCAAGCTTTCAAAAAGTGAATCTGTGATTCTGAATGACAGTATCCACACAGCGCGGCGATTGACAGCACCACTCGCCTCAAAGCACTGTGTTCATCCGGGCTGTTTCATGCCGATTTACAACCCACGTAAAGATAATAATTCCGCGAATCACTGCAGTTACAGATTTCGAACCGAGATGGCGACAAAAAGGGAAAAAGCTACGGACTGCAGCTTTAACTGAACAGCTTCGGCGTTATTGGAATGGTTATATGACGTTTTTTGGGTTGAATGGTGGCCATCTCGCCCCCCCCGCCCTGGTGCCTGTGAGCGAAAAAACCACACTTGCAACTTTGGCCCGGCGGGCCGCCGGCCTCAGCGTCAGGAAGTATTGCGTGATATCAGCTCTCGTGATGTAACGAATAGCTTTACGGCACTGCACACATACACGCCCCTGTCGTCGCTACTCGATCCGTACCGGAAACACGATCTGTACTGCGAATGTGCGAGAACAAAGTTTTTCTGCCACTTCCTGTCATCGTCAATGTTTTTACGACAACGTCACTGTCACTACTCGATCCGTACTTTACTGTCACGATTTGTACTGTACTGTCATGCATGTGCGAAAAAAAAAAAAAACATGGATTCTTTTGCATTTTATGTGAAAGTTCAAGAGTTTCTCTTAAAAGGAGAAATGCCTGACAATCACGCAGAGCGTCGGAAAGTGAAACGGTCGTCTGCGAATTTTATCATCAAAGGTAACTATGACAAGGCTTAGACTAATCCAGTATTAGGCCTTAGTTCAATTGTGTTGTGTAACAATATATCGTGCCACAATATAGCGTAATACAAAAATGCAACAATACGTATCGTGGATAGTGACAATATGTATCGTTAATAGTTCACCCAAAATAAAAATTACTGTGTGAGGAAAAAAATTATGTTTTCAGAGTTTTTGTGTAAGTACTTCATTAAAATGTTGATTATAATACATGTATAATAATGCAATGGGGAATATTTGTGGGTCCTGATAATGCCAAACGTCTTATGTTACCAGAATGTTAATTCGTGTGTGAGAGTGAGCGAGTGTGTAAGGGGGGGAGGGAGGGGGAAGGGAGGAGGGATGGAGGAGAGATGGGGGGGGGGGGGGGGGGGGGGGGCTTTGGAGGAAGAAGGAAGAAGGGAGGGAGGGATATAGATGGATGGAAAGATGGATGGATGGATGGAGGGAGAGATAGATGAATGGAGGGGTGGATGGAGGGATGGATGATAGATGGATGGAGGTGGATGAATTCATTTATTAATAAATAACACACTACAACCATCATACTGCCCAAACTTAATGCACATCTGTATGTAAAATTTACAACAATAGCTGGCTTATACAGGATTGACAAAAATATGAGTGTTAACAGGAAACGGAGCACGTAGAATAACACATCTTTAGGGAGAAGAAAATAAATTAAAGTTAAAATAAAATAAAATAAATAAACAATAAATGAAGTGACAAAGGATAAATAAAAGTAATAAAAGTCAATTAAGGGGCATCAAGATCGTGTAGGGTCGAACAACAACTGCTGTAAATGGTTTCGAGATATCAGACAGGAAGGAGACGCGTTCTCGCATATGCGCAGTACAGATCGTGTTTCCGGCGCACGGATCGAGTAGCGACAGGGGCGGAACATCTGCAAATGGGATCTTGTTTTAACCACAGCCACATCCTTCATGTCATACTTTCGTCACAAGCACTCTGACTGTGCATGTAGATCAGTAGAAGATTGCCATAGCGTAAATGCCAGGTGGAGTAATGCAATGTACAACTGGTATTTGATTGAAAACTGCAGATTTTTAGATTTTCAGCTACATTTTATATTTTTGTAAACCGGTTCAATGGGAATATTATCAAGGTAAGTTTTAGAATTTCTCTACTTCTTCTTTTATAGTCACTTTTACCTGTATTTTTCCCCCCGACTCAATCATCTATTTTTCTAGTTTAATCACATGTTGATTATAGACTAAACAATATGATGATAAACACCTTAAATGTTTGTGATGCTTTTGTATATTTTATATGTATAAATATGTAACTATGTGTATGTATTATTAATTACATTTGTTTTATTTTCTTAAGTTTGTAGTTGTTATAACGTTTTATCTTTTTGAAAATTAAAATGAATTGAATTAAATTAAATGTACAATATAAAATGTGGTTATAGATTACCGATTTAAATGCCGTTACGTGTTAAAATAACATGTTTGCTTTCTTTGCAGTTTGCATGTGGGCTCTGTACAATGCGTTTGAGCAGGGCTGACCACAGTTTATGTCATTGTTTCTCCACAATGGCTCTATGGCAAGCCATATTCTTGCTTGTTTGTGGACTCATTGAGTGCAGTAAGTTTGCATTTATTGCAATATTACCATTCCTGTGAAAAAAAAAAAAAACTGTAAGAAAAAAAAAAGTTGCTGCCTTAAATTAGGTACAATCAACTTGGATGTTCAAGTCCTTTCAACTTAAATTACATTAAACTGACTTAAAAAAAGTTGAAAATTGCTTAACTTATTTTGATGAGTTAAAACAATGTAAAAACATATGTTGTCATAACGTATTGATCATATACGTATAATCTTTTATACTGACAGTCATATCATCTTGTAAAATAAGTGCAAACATCCTCAGAAGGATATAGCTGCAACAGTATGATTTGCCTTGTGTCCTTTGACCTAAGCAGGTGTTGCTTTGAGAAGAAACGCTGTACCGTTTCTGTAGCTCGTTTGACCACATTTCCTCTCACATCACTCTTTGCAGATGACGCCGTGTGCAGTGTGACCTGCACCACAGACTTCATCTCCAAGCTGAACTGCTCTAATTCTGACTCGGCAGAAACGGCTTCGTGTGATATTGTGGCAGATTGCAGGTACAGATCTAGCACATTGTGTTCTTACTTTTGAGAATGTGAATCTACTGAATCATTGTCTGGCCTCTGCTTATTGTTTATTTTTAACCTGCTATTACCATTGGTCAACATATTGTTTAATTAGCACGTTTCATGTCTCGCAGGGATGAATTTTCTGCTGTAAATGGGACCTGCAGAATCAAATCGCCACAATCCTGGTGCACAATGGAACCAGAGGATCTGGATGATGTAATATCCTATGATACCAACTGCTCTATCATAGTAACACAAATGGCCAAACAAGGCAATATGGAGACCCCGACAAGGCGTCACTCTGAAAATTTTGTTTTATACAAATCTAGTAAGTTCCTCTGTCCACTTCAGGAGCAGTGTAAAAATAAGCGCCATTTACAGTGAAATCCAAATCTGAGATCACTACAAAAAGTGCTTTGTAGTGAAAACACGCTCTTTAGATTATAAAAGTGTTTTTCAAACAAGTTGTTTGGGGAACCTAAAATGGTTCTTCTGTGGCATCGCTGCAAAAACCCCCTATTGGGGTTTTTTTTTTAAGAGTGTATGAGGATTTTCACAGTCTTGTAGGTTTTGGTTTGTCCTCTTTTGCTTTAAAGGGGTCATCAGATGCCTGTTTTCCACAAGTTGGTATGATTCTTTAGGGTCTTCATGTAAAGTTTGTAACATACTTTGGTTAAAATTCCTCAATGGTTGTGTAAAACCCTTTTACCTCCTCATAAACAGCCCTGTTCACAGCGACCAGTCTCTTTAAATGATAATGAGCAACTGCTCACCCCTCTCTTCTGTGGGGGGTGTCGACACAAGACATTAAAGTCCAAGGCCCTGTCCCAAATGGCACACTCCGGACTTGTGGACTTCCTCAGAGTCCACACTTCGGTGACGTCATGTAGTGGAGACCTATAGGGCCCTTAGCGCGAGTCCGCGAGGGCGCATTGAGAGTTATTTTTGGGACAGACTCGATCGTCACGCCGGAAACAGGAAGACGGTCTGATTGTTGTTATGGACAGGAGCTACAGGTTCGGGGAAATATGCTGCCTATCGTTGTTGTGTTTACATATGACTCAGTAAAGCCCTGACATTCAGGTCTATTTATTTAATGAATCATAATGCGCTCGTATTATTCAGCTCGCTATTATTAGCCTGTTTGAGACATCAACCACTGGTCGAGGATCATAATGTTTGTATAAACTTGTCATAAAAACCTAATGATAATTACACTTAAATATTTTCTTCTCAGCCATGTTAACAATTGTCCGTGAGCGAAATCTCCTCCCATCCGTTGTCTGATTGGCCTTTCGCAAGGATTCCTGGGTAGTTAAAGTGCGTGGAGCCTGCATCTATGCGAGCTTCGCGGAAGACCGCTTCAAGGGTACAAAGGGGGCGCTGCTGAGCACACTTCAGAGCGTTAAAATGCTAAACGGGGCGGCCTACGGACTCGTAGACTCGGCGAGCACGCGCAATTTAAGTCCACGAGACCGAAAGTCCGCATGAAGTGCGCCATTCGGGACAGGGCCCAAAACTGTCATGCCCTTCACTCGCTAACTTCCCTCAGTCTCGTTCACTCGGATGTACGTCATTGCTTACGTTGCATGAGTGCCCACTACTGGTGGAACCTTTGCAATAGGCTGAATCGGAACGTGTTAAGCCCTTGATCACTTAATCCACTATGGGGTTGATTTATTTTTATTATTTTTTTTTCCTTACGAAATTGTTTAATGCAGCATTCTATATGTATATAGGTGTGTTTGAGTTGTTTATTAAACATTTTTTTAAATAATTAATATATCATAGAGTTGTTTTCGGTGGGGTAAATTAAACGCAATTTGCGCTGACGTCACAATCGTGTTGCATTGTGGTATATGGAGCTGTCTGAAGTGTACATATGAAGTAGACTCAAGCGGCTTGATTATTGAGAGTGTGTAGACTTTTTGAGGATTAATAAAAAGTAGTGAATCGATTTTTTTTCATTGTATGGTGGTTGTGTCCACACACTGCAAAGACAAATCTATATGCAAACACCATATAAAAGTAAATTTTGCAACCGACGACCCCTTTAAAGTTTGTGTCAAACCTGATGATCATGTTCTCCAGCATGATTCAAGATGATCCAAAGAACATCTTGAGCGTCAGTGGAAGAAGAACATCTGACTGGCTGTGCAAAGAGTCACATGATCATCGTTAAACATACATCACTGATTAGTGAAATAGAAATTGTGCAGAATCTTGAATATCGCTACTTAATTTTACATCATAACCTTACTCAAAAATCCCTTAAACCTTTTTGGTTGGAATTGGATTTTAATCCCAGATTTGTAATGTGATCTCAGACTTTTTGGACTCCACAGTAAATCATCGGCCTTGTTTACTTCTGTACATTATTCACTAACATTTGTTTTGTTTTCTTTTTTTATAGTTAAGCTAATGCAACCTTTCAACCTAAGCATTGCAAAAATTGATGGGGGTTTCAACCTCACTTGGGATGTGGCTTATGAAGACCACTATCTGTATAAAAAATTATACTATGGAGTACGATTACGAACTAAAAGTGACCCGGATGAGGTAAAAGATCAATTTGTCTGTCCATATGGAGGGAAAATGACCCATATTTTGCACACTTTTTTTTTTAATATGCTGATCATTCCACAGAAGGGGCAAATTTACACTACGCAGCAGAACCGACAATCCATGATTATCATCAGTGAAAAACTCCTGCCAGGGAGGCAATATGTGGCAGACATTCAGGTCGCTGTAAATCCGGGGTGGTTTACATCCATGTGGAGTGAATGGAGCAACAGTGTTGAATGGACATCTGACTCTCCAGAGACCGATCAGTACTATTTCCTGCTGCTGGCACTTCCTGTTGTGGCGGTGGTGCTGCTGGTGTACAGTGGGAAACTGTGAGTATCACTTTTACTTGTCCAGTATTTCATCTTGGCTCGGTTTCACAGACTGGGCTTAGACTTTGCCAGCAGTAGGTCTTAGTTAAATTCGGGCATTTAAGTAGCTTTTTATAAACGTTCTTTTAGGGGGATGGTGTTAGTTAGTTAGTTAGTTAGTTATTTTCTTCGGTCATTTTGAACAATTAAATCTTAGGTCATATGTAATTCAAAAAATCCTGTACATAATACAATAAAAATAAAAAAATAAAAATAAAACAATGAAACAAATAGAGAAAGAAAAGAAAATTTAAAGACATTAGAAAGATAAATACAAAATGAGTACCTAGGAATTTAAATGCTAAATAATACCTGACCGAAGGGGTTTAGGCTGAAGTCAAGACTTATTTTGCCTAACCCCTTTTACAACAAAAACACTATGTCCAAAGATGACACAATTTTATGGTTTCTCTTATACCAAAAATGATAACATGTAAGCACAGAACTTAAACTTCAACAATCAAAATTATATTATGCATCCACTTTCGCTTACTTTTCTAATGTTCTTCATTCAAGTGTTCTATACTTTTCCATAATGTTTAACTTATATCTTTTCTTTAATGCATTAATAGTTTTAGAGCTCTTAAGTGAAATAAGAAGACTGTTCCATAAATTAACTCCTTTAACTGATAAACACCTTCTCTTAGTAGGTCCCTCTTCGCCATGGGTTTTTGTAACAAATCAATTCCTCTGAGGCTATATCTAGATTCTCTGATTCGAAACATCTCTTGTAAACAGTGAGGAAGCATGAAATTGTGAGCCTTGTACATCACAACTGCTGTGTAAACATCAACAAGATCATGAAATTTTAATATATTTAATCTAATAAAAAGTGGGTTTGTTGGGGCAAAATATTCAGCATAGCTAATCACTCTAATTGCTTTCTTCTGTAATAAAAAAATAGGCTGAATATTAGTTTTATAGGTATTCCCCCATATTTCCACACAATAGCTAAGGTATGGAAAGACGAGGGAATTATACAATATATACAATGCGTTTTGATTCACAAAAGTTTTTATTTTACACAGTATGGCAATAAGTTTTAAAATTTTAGTCTTTAGTATATATATATGCACCTTCCAATTTAACTTATCATCAATATTAATTCCCAAAAACTTTATTACATACACCCTTTCAATTTCTACCTCCCCAATTTTGAGTCGACATAGTTTGTTTACTACCTTGTTTCCAAATACAATATATTTAGTTTTTTGCAGATTTATGGAAAGTTTATTTACTTCAAACCATTTTTTGAAGTGTGTGCATCTCGAGACAAAACAATGGCACTGATGTATTTTAAGATATGATTGGCTTAAGCTTTGTTTGTGAAACTGGCACTTATGTTCCAGTTCAGATCTGCATTTGTCAAAAAAATTGCATTCTCAGTACTAACTGTTTACTTGCCAAAGATAAAGTTAAAAGTCTAGCTCCTCACGGAGGCCGCGAGGTACATTTTTAAGACTTTAGGGAATTGTACAAGCTCATACAGAAGTCACTTTGTGGGATATGGAGAAGTGAAGCAAACTCGAACCTCTCGCATTATGACTGTTTCTTCATTTATGAGTCACATGAGTGTCTTTATTATCTGTTAGTCATATGCCGTTGAGGCTTATATTAACCTTTCAAACCATCTAGATCAGTTCACTCCTTCTTAAAAATCTGAAAGATTATGTACTGAGAAGTTTGCCTGATATCCCACATAGTGACGGACTTGATAAAAGACTATCGACAAGTGTGATCCTAAATTTCGATAGCGCCTCCTCTAAATGAGTATTCCAGTAATCGATATGACGGCACTTACCGTATATGAATAGTCCTTTCTCACCTCCTACGTAAAAACCACAACAGCAGCAGATATGTTTGTGCAGACAGTCTATTTTCATGTAGGTCAAAAAACTGGAGGAAGTCAGAGCTACAAGCTCTGCAAGTGCATAAAGCTCGACAGTTTCCATGACAGCTGTTGTTTTCATTTGTTTTTCAGCACGTAATCATCATATGTCCAGAAATAACAGCCTGTTTTAAATGCATCCACCAAACTACACTCCAGTCGTATAACACTTTGTCTTTTTGCATGTGTAGAGGGGGCATCAAAAAGCCGACCATGTGGCAGCACATCCCAAGCCCGCATGAGTATTTCAAACCGCTCTACCATATACATCAAGGAGACTTTAAGGTATGTTATGCTTCTAAATCTCTTGTGCATAAGCAGAAGTCTCTGTGCGTGTAACATTAGGGGACTTTCATACATGCGACTTACTTAACCTCACTCGCAATGGGGGAATGTGACATTTCTCAAATGAGTCAGTCTGTAGGGGCTTCAAAGGAACAGGAGGGCTCACTTAACATTTGGTAGCGATTGCATTGAATATGAAAACTGAAAGTAGCAGTTTTCCCCTCTAATGGAAAGTACTATGAGTTCAAACCCAAACTCTGATAAGGTGGGTAGTTATAAATAGTTGTTTTTAACTAAAGGGGAATTTAGTGAATATTCCACTGGGTAGGCTAATGTGAGGTGAAAAATACTACCCTCTATCGAAAGCTCGGAACAAAAAAATAAAAAGGGAGTTGTTTCTTGTTGTTATTCCCTCAGAGCAACTCAGTAACTCTAATAGTCGCAGCTTGAGGATTTTTCTGAAACATTAGCGTTTTGAAATATGACTGTGTCGTGAACTTGCAGGACTCGAGGCACCAGCTTTATTTAACCATAGCAGTAAATGAGGAAATCGTGGCAGCTTTGTGGTGGTGATCTTTATTTTCGAACTGTAAAGGAACACATATTCCAGTAGAGGTCAGTAACGGGCTGCATTAGCAACTTTTTAAAACGTTTAGAAGGATATATTTAACAAAGTAGCCTACTGTGTGAAAACAGTAGAGGTGCGTTTTGATCTGCTCCGTGACACCCTGTGTAATTTTCCAACCCCCCCCTTAATACTAAAACAGATTAGGCCTACTCAGAAAATTCTACAAAATCAATAATTGATAAATAATCATTTTATACATGCATGTTATGTCTTTTGTTTTGTAGTTGTGCTGTTTTGCGTTCATATTATCAGTTTTTATTCGGTGAGCACAAAGCACCTTGAATACGAGTCATTTTTACTTCATAAAGCATTTAACGTTACTAACCATAAAGATGAAAAAGCTTTTAATGAATGATTTTTATTACCCAATTTTATATGAACACGTTTGAAAGTTCAGGAAATGATGATTGCGATAAGATAATCTGCAACTAGGCGTTGTTTTGACATTAAGCAGTGTCGGGTTCATCGGGTTCGTTTAGTGGGTTAGAAGGATCATGCGACACTGAAGACTGGAGTAATGATGCTGAAAATTCAGCTTTATCACAGGAATAAATGATTTTTAAGTTATTTTAAACCGTAATATTATTTCACATAAATCGTTACTGCATTATTGATCAAATAAATGTAGTCTTGTTGAGCATAAGAGACTTCTTTTACACAAAGTTTCAAATGGTAGTTTATACATTTCTCATGTTGCAGATACAATGACTTGAATGCACCTCATTAAGATGAACATGTTTTTAATTTTATTATTAAAATTTGGTAAAATTGTTTTAGGGGGCATAATGTTACAAATGTTAGAGTGATGCATGTCCTAATATCATAATGAAGACAAACAACTAATTAAAAGAATGACATTCTTGAATATAATCATTTGGCATAATCTTTTATAATTTCTCAGGGAAAAAAAAGTGTTAAGCAGTGTTGAACTTGTGCTAATCAAAGTCTTGGGATGCAGGAACATTTAAAATTGTTTTTGTTTGTATAATTTTTTTTATATTTTTAAGTTTTTATAAGTTTTATTTGTCATTGACCTTCCAACGAATACAAGATCAACAAGTGTATCATTTAGTAATATGGCAGGACTGTGGAAGTGACTGTCCCGCCAATTGGCCAGAAATCTTTCACACTTCTCACATACTTGCTGTTGATCCATCCAGTCTTTAACTTAATGTCTTTTATTTTCATCATGACCAAATAAATAAAATGATCTACTTGTGTTTTATTTCAGAGGTGGGTCGGACCAGTCCTGACGTTCAATAACTTCGATTTCCAAGAGAAGAGCACCTCTTTGCAGGTGCTTTGTGAGAACCAGCAGAATGACAGCTCAGAAGAACCTAGTAACAGCGGGAACGGTGAGCGGGACTTTGGTCTTGCGGTTCAAAACTCATCGAAACTCTACTTCCTTGGTGGCAGCAGTAACAGCGTCGCACACTCCGGCGGACACATATCGATGGACACCGTTACAGTGTCTGGTCAGGAGGGCGTCGTGGCCGACTGGTCCAGTGACAGTCACAGACGGAGCCTAGAGGACTTCCTCGATGGCAAAGACACCGATCAGAGAGCGGCTGAGATCGCAGACAGACAGCCTCTTGTACCTGAAGGCAGCGGGAGTTTACAGGGTTTAGACTGTGATGACTGGCATCTACAGGAGCACGACCTGGAGAACATTGAACAGAACTCGCTGGACTCTTACGGTTCCAATGAGGAGTCTGATGACGGTTACCCACAAATGGGATTGGATTTAGACACCATAGACAGTGGATTTCTGGAGTCAGACTGTTCAAGCCCGTCGGCTTTTGATGGGAACGAGCAGATAGAGACTGATTCACTGGATGGCGTGGGAGGCTCCCATTCAAATTATGTCAAACAGTGGGTGGCTTTTACAGCAGTTCAAGTTGATGCCCACAGCACTGGAAAGTAGCTGTTCATGGGAGTTCCTATTACTACATCGAAGTGAATCAACCGCAACTGAATAATAAACAGGAGATTGCGGAAGCGTCTATATAAAATATCTGAAGACATTGAATCCAATTTGCTCATGTGTTGATGTGAGCACTGCAGATTCTCCTCACACTGAACTCTTGTGGCATAATGCTACAAAACAGACTAAATGTTAGTCAGTTGTATGATCGTTCACAGGACATTGGTTTACATTAGGCTGCAGGACAGTATGCATGGTGGCATCTAGATTGGCATACTATCAATCATGTAGATCAGAGTTTGCGCAACTAATAATCATTATCCATCACTCTAATTGTACATTTTCTGTCATGCTCTATTTTTATCTGTCAGTAAAATATTGTAATGCTTGGCATTTTTAATGTGACATTGATATCACAAGAACTTCTGTGGCAACGATACTGAACAAAATCCCATGGATTATTCCACTAAACTATATTTGGAATGTTTAATTTTTCTCTTCAAATTGTCCCTCTCCTGGTCAGTTTTGCACTTTAAAACTATATTTTCTCCCCTATACTTCACTTCTAAATCCAAATAATTATGAAATCCCTTTTCATCTCAGAGTTAAAAAAATGTTTAGTAAATGAAAGTTACAATTACAAGAAATAAAGTCTCAGAGTAAAACTAAATAAATAAAAAGGCAACTATGACTTTATTTGTCACAGTTGTGATCTATAAAGTCATAATTGCCTTGGAGTCTACACTTTACAGAATTCTATAATTAACATTTCTTTCTATGTTGTTAACACAACCACTCCCTCTGGTATGCTAAAGTACAATTAGTGTGTCCTCCTAAATCATTGTCTGTAGCATGCCAAAAGTGCCTGGGTGGTTTACTATCCCAGCTAACAAAAATAGGTTCTAAGAACGTTTAGCTTACATTCCCATTAAGTTATGAAAACATTATTTCTTTAAAGCAGCACTAAGTAGGATTTGCGTTTTTGTCAAACAGCGACCCCTAGAGTCGCTGTGGAGTACTTGTACTGTCGTGAATAGCACTCACGCAGAGATGGCTCGCACTCACGGCCGGATCCCCTCCCCCTGTACACCGGTACCTGTTCAGTAGGATGGACGCTGTAACGAGTGGAAATAAGGTGTGGCCCCTTTAAGAGCTGCGCGCGCCCTGTTTAACTGTCGGCAGTCTGTATTGTATGTGCGCCTCGAACACCACATGTATACGGCGCCGGGTTATTTCTGTTTGATGCTCATTTTATCAGAATTTTATCAGATCTGTTTTTTGCCGTAAAGCAATTCGTTACCTCGCGAGACCTGATATCACACGATGCAAAGTTGCAAGGGTGGTTTTGCGGCTCAGAGGCACCAGGGGGGTGCGAGACGACCACCATTCAACACGAACGACCACCATTCAACACGAAATCAGTAATATAAACAATACAATGACTCCAAAGCTGTTCGGTTAAGGTAAAAAAGTTACTTAGTTCACCTTTAAGTTCTCTGAACGATCAAAAGTTAAGGAAACGTTCCATTTTATCATTCTTAAAACATTATGTTAACGTTACTTTTGAATGTTCTCTGAACATTCTCAAACAAGTAGTAGCATTTAAAAAATGTTTGATGAACGTCCAACAAAAACATTTCAGGAAAAAAGTCCTATGAACGATGTATCAATAACATTTTTATCCTAACATTATTAAAGATCAGATAACGTACTCGGTTACTAACGTAACCTCGGTTCTCTCTAGAGAGGGAACGAGAACTGCGTAAAAGCTTACGCTAGGGGAAAACCTCTTTTCCACGAGATATTGAAGCCAAAAATTATCCTTAATTTTTTATTAATGTAAAACGCTTTGCAGCAGCAAGCAGACACAGGCGAGACAGCTCGCGCGCCTATTGGCTGCTCTTGCGGCAAATGCAGCAGCCTATCGAGAGAGACTCTGCGTGACGTAATGACCAATGGGGGCAACTCGCGCCCATATCGTCACGTCCCGCCAGAAAAGGCGTGGTCTCACTCTATAAATATGCTCGTTAGGCTGGTACAAGCTGGTTTTCATCGCCGAAGCGAACCAGAGCGTATTCCAAGCACGGCAAGATACGCAGTACTCGTTCCCTCTCTAGAGAGAACCGAGGTTACGTTAGTTACCGAGTACGTTCTCTTACGAGAGTATCTCTCGTACTGCGTAATAGCTTACGCTAGGGAACACAATGCAACACGCCGTGCGTACAGGGATCCAACACCAAAGTCCCAGAGGCAACGCCCAGGGCCCATATAGTGCATAATCACCATGAACTCACATAGAGTGAAGGAAGAGAGGCTGGAAGCATCATTCCTTATAAAATAACACCCAACATGGTTATTACAGTTAAACGCGCAGCCAGGGTGAAGTTTTCAGCCTGAACTGGATGGTCATACATGTGTCAATACTCATGGAGCTGTAGTAGACTCAGCATTTGGGCCGCACAGCGGGGCAAATAGCACTGAATTCTAGACCGCCAAAAGCTTAGCTTGTAAGGCAGGTACCTCCAGGTTATAGTATTTTATAAATGTAGACGGCGAGGCCCAGCCCGCGGCCGTACAGATATCCTGCAGGGTAACCCCGCTAGACCATGCCCACGAAGAGGCCACGCCTCTTGTGGAGTGCGCTCTGACATCCAACGGGCACTGCAGGCCCTTTGCAGTGTAAGCTAGCGCAATGGCATCCACTATCCATCTAGATAGGCTCTGTTTCGAGGCGGCAAGTCCCTTGGAACGTCAGCCAAACAAAACGAAAAGCTGCTCAGTCTGTCTGAAAACAGACGAGCGCGACACATAAGCTCTCAGTGCCCTGACGGGGCAAAGGAGACTCGCGTCCTCCTCCTCATTGAGAACCGGAAGGGCAGACAGGGAAATTACCTGGGCCCTAAACGGTGTATTGAGGGATTTCGGCACACACCCGTGCTTAGGTTTGAGGATGACCTTCGAGTCATTAGGCCCAAACTCCATACATGACGCGCTTACTGAAAGCGCTTGCAAGTCCCTTATGCGCTTCACTGGAGCGAGAGCCGTGAGAAACACTGTTTTGAAAGACAGGTGTTTCATGTCCACCAGCTGGATTGGCTCGAACGGGGCGCCTTTCATGGCATCCAGGAAAGGTCCCACGTCGGGACTGAAGGGGGCCTGGGAGGGTTTAGCCTCCGAGCTCCCCTAAGGAAACGCACGACTAAGTCGTTTTTCCCCAGTGACTGGCCAGACACCGGTTTTGCAAACGTTGCTATGGCCGCCACATATACTTTGAGCGTGGATGGGGTCCTGCCCTTGTCCAGTAGCTCTTGAAGGAAGAAAAAGCACTTCCGAAACCCCGCAATCCACAGGTGAAAAGCTCTGGGCTTGACACCATGCAGAGAAAACAGACCATTTCGAGGAGTAGAGCCGCCTGGTAGACGGAGCTCTAGCCTGCGCGATCGTGTTTAACACTCCTTCCGGGAGGCTAGCGGGTACCCGTTGATGGCCCACGCGTGCAGGGACCATAGCTCCGGGCGAGGATGCCAAATCGAGCCCACCGCCTGAGAGAGGAGGTCTCTCCTCAATGGTACAGGCCATGGGGCAGTGCTGGTCAGCTGCATCAGGGCAGGAAACCACGTCTGGTTTGTCCAGAGCGGAGCTACGAGCAGCACTGGGCATCCGTTTCCCCTGATTCGTTCCAACACTTGAGGAAGGAGCGAGACAGGAGGAAAAGCATATAGGGGACAGCGGGGCCAAACATGAGCCAGTGCGTCCTTGCTTTTCGAGAAAAACCTCGGGCAATGAGCGTTTTCGTGGGACGCGAATAGGTCCACTTGTGCTCTGCCGAACGTTCTCCACAGCAGCTGGACCGTCTGCGGGTGCAGCGACCACTCCCCTGCTGGAACATTGTTCCTGGACAGTCTGTCTGGTCCCACATTCAGGTGACCAGGCACATGCGCTGCTCTTAGTGAGAGCAGGTTGCGCTGAGCCCAGACCAGGAGGCGTTCCGTCAGCCTGTGAAGGTTTCGTGACCTGACGCCGCCCTGGCGATTTATGTATGCCACCACTGACATGTTGTCCGACCGGACCAAGACATGGTGGCCTGTCACCTGGGGACAAAAGCGCCGTAGCGCTTTGTCGACTGCTATCATCTCCAAGCAGTTTATGTGAAGGAGCTTTTCCCGTTCTGACCACAGGCCAGCTAGCGGTCTGCCCTCGAGCAGCGCTCCCCACCCCGAGGTGGAGGCATCCGTAGACACCACCTTCACACTCGAAGCGGTCCCCAGGCTTACACCTGACTGATACCAGTTGGTTATTTTCCAAGGTTTCAGAGCTGAAACGCACTGTAGGTCGACCTTGAGGCGAAACAGACCCGCTGTCCATGCCCTGGGCGGAACCCGCGCTTTCAACCACATCTGCAGTGGGCGCATGCGAAGCAAGCCCAACTGGAGTACAGAGGCTGCCGAGGCCATCAGCCCCAGCATTTTCTGAAACCTTCTGAGCGGAACTATCAAGCCGTGGCGGAAGGATTTCGCGACGCGCTGAATATTTAGTCCGCGCTCCGGTGACAGGCGTGCCGTCATGGATAGCGAGTCTAACACTGTTCCCAGAAAGGACATTTTCTGACTGGGAGACAGTGAGCTTTTCGCCCAATTGACTGTGAGGCCCAGCTCCTCGAGGTGCTCGAGTAATGCGGCCCTGTGTTTTATGAGCTCCGATCGTGATCGAGCTAGAATCAGCCAATCGTCCAAGTAGTTCAGGACTCGCATGCCCTGAAGTCTCAGGGGTGCGAGCGCCGCGTCCATGCACTTCGTAAATGTACGGGGTGCTAGGGACAGGCCGAACGGCAGGACTGTGTATTGATACGCCTGGCCCTCGAAAGCGAATCTCAAGAATCGCCTGTGATGGGACGCTATTTGTATTTGGAAATAGGCGTCTTTCAGATCTATTGACATAAATACACTGTGGAACTTTTCAACCTTTATAATATATTACCAAAACCCATTGAGATGGTACATCGACTTACAATAGGTTGAATGACACGTCTGCCGAAGCCTGAAGGTGTCTGTATCGCTTTTACTAGCACTATGTAACTTCGGGTT